TGATGAATCTGTGTTACGCGCCGAAAGCAGCCCGGTCCGGCTCCATCCGGCACGGGAACACCCCCAGATGGCCCGGCCAAGTGGCCTGCTGCCCTCGCCCGCCTGCAGGGCGGTGGTGACCAAAAAAAAATAATAGTAATAAAAAATCTATGTTATCTTCGATGAGAAATTGACGAACTGTTGGCTGACCATCATTCGGAAATTCAATATGAAATTGATAATAATAAAGTTAAATAAACACAATTGAAAAAAGAAAAAAAAAAACGGTTCAAAACCCCACCTATCAGATCTTTTTTTTGTGTTCTTTCTTCTTATGTTTCTTATTTTCTTTTAATATAGTGGAACCCTAAAAAATAAAATAAAAAATGTACGTGTACAATAGTATTACAACCCTATATATTCTGTTTTTTTTTTTTCCCCGGAGAAAATAATATTCCTTGGTCGCATCGAACAGCGATAAACGGGCGGTTCAATACCATTTTAAGCCTTTTACGGTTTTTACCGCAGTTTCAAGTTTCAACAGTTGTTAAAAGATTCAACGTGGGACCCGAGTTGAAATAATAACTTCCAGCCACTCAGATGAGTCAGTGAAACTCCGACGAAACAGGTTCTCACAGCCATTTGTTTGAACGCACCCGTGGGTGCTAGTGATGCTGGTAAGAGCAGACACCGCTACTGGCCAGTTCTGTTTGATGATATATGTCATAAGTTATAACAACATATATACATAAAGATATATATTATATATCGTATGAGAGAGAGAGAGAGAGAGAGATGTGCGTTGAACTGGAAAGATGGCTTAAATATGTTCAAGATGTGCGCTGGATGACTGCATCCAATCAAACTTGCTGTGGATTGATTGGTCAGGTGTGCATCCATGCATATGGTCTCTATTGGCCTACTTACCTGTCGTCTCCCGAACACAATGCACGCTCATCTTTTTTTTTTTTTTTTTTTTAATTGGCCTCTCAACGGAGTGAGGGGTCGGCAAAAATTTGCATAAGCTGCTTAGCGTGCTCACCCCACGGTATTTTCTATGCCAATTGAGATGCGACCGCATCCATCGGGAAAGATAGCTTGAATACATATTCAAGATGATGCCGTGCATTGGATGACTGGATTGACCTGGAATTGAACTGGCGAGCTTTATATATATATATATATATATATGAGGAGGATCCCACCAGACAAGCTTGTGTGAGGGCTCACAATGGGAAAAACAAAAACAAAAAAAAAGATTGATTACGGCGGCAATGGTACCCAAGGGTGGTCAGTTGTGGACACCATTTCTTGTGTAAAACTTACATTACTATCCCCGAGTATCCCCGAGTTTTGGCGCCTTCTTGCAAAAGATCGACTTGACAATATTTTTGTTCAGGGGCACTGCTGGTCAAAGATGCAAATGTGAAGCTTTACCTCCAGATCCTCTACTTCTAATCATGAATATATGAAGTTTTGTGTCTCAAGGGCCCTGCCTATATGACTGCCTTCCCTTGAGTTCAACGCACCCTCGTTTTTGGCATATGGAACCGGGAAGGGAACTCGTATACATTCATAATCAGGATGCTCTGTGCTCCGAAGAACACGGCAGTGGTCACTTTGTCTATCAGCCCATTCAAACTCCAAATTGGCAACTTTTTTTTTTTTTTTTTTTTTTTTTTTTTTAA